AAGCTGTAAGAACAGTTAGCAAGAAGCCTACCACGGCCATACAGTTTGTAACCAATATAAGTCTCTGTGTTTACTTGGTCTGAGTGGCTGTGGGACTGACAGGTGAGAGAGGTTTGCCCTGACTGTGGGTCAGGCAGGAAAACTCTAGCTACATAACAGCTTTCACTGTGACATTTCCGCGCTTGTATGACTTTGTACTTTTCTTATATATACCCCTGAGCACTCTACCTCAGGGATTCTTAGTAAATTATGATAAAAGGACAAATTCAGGAATCCATGAAATGTTCTTTACACAATTTGGTACAGCTTGGAGCTATTGAATTCGAGCTGTAACAACCTCTAAGAGGAAAAGTAAAGAAAAAGTAAAGGAAGTTCCCCTGAGAGGGGAGTACATTTAAGGAATATGAGAAATACAGAACATTTGAATGGTTATAAAGACCTCTTGTAGCACGTATCTTAAAAGGTCTTATTAATAAAAACCAACCTGGAGCCAGGTATTGGGGTGAATGCTGGAAGATCAGAGAAGCAGAACAAGCCACAGCCACCTCACCTCAGAATTCCTCAGCTGATCCTGCTTCCTCAGACTGGAAGCCTCTGTGTCCTCATCCAGATGGCTCTCAGCTGAACTGATGCTCAAAAGCCTAAAACCTTAACAGGCTCTAGTTCCTGGTCCTCACGCCATATATACCTTTCTGCTCTCTGCCATCACTTCCTGGGATTAAAGGCGTGAGTCACCATGCCTGGCTGTTTGCAGTGTGGCTTTGAACTCACAGAGATCCAGATGGATCTCTGCCTCTGGAATGCTAGGATTAAAGTCGTGTGCTACCACTGCCTAACCTCTATGTTTAATATTATGGCTGTTCTGTTCTCTGACCCCCAGATAAGTTTATTGGGGTGCACAATATATCAACCACAGCCTCTGTAATACTGTTGTGTGTTTCTCAGGCCTCCTGAATGGGGCTGATTCAGGATGTGAAACAAAGCTTCATGGGAGAGGAAATGGAATGGAACAGGAAGTGAGAGTAAGATTTAGTGAAGTGGGAAGACAATTGTACCTCTTAGATTTACTTTATTCTTGAGATAAAGTTTCTGAGGTCAGTAGAAACAGTGCTGAGCACTGTGTTTTATATCACTCTACATAACAAATGTTTATATCATTCTATAAGAAAAGGTGTAAGATTCCTAGATGGAATTAAAATATAAATATTTGCCCATAAATGTAAAATATTTCACACGCTTCACTCTGTAAAATACTTATAAGTCTACTATATGCAAAGAAAAATTTGATAAGCTACATTTACAGTCACAGAAAAACAACAGTTAAGATAGTCACAAGATTAATCCATAATGACCCATAATGATAATAAGTACAGACAATGACAGAATTTCCTTTTTTATTATACATACAGCAAATTTTAATGGTAACATATTCGGTTTTATCCATATTTACCTGAAAATAACCTCAGAAACATTGTCTTTTATCCCATTGTTTCTCCAAAAGACAACTTGCCATAATTTACAGTTTCGAAAAGCCATTTTTAAAGTATTGTATTGTACACGAATCTTGGCAGCAGGAATCCCTTCAATGTTGATTCACTTTTATTTTTAAATTGTAGGTTGTTCTTCCTTAAAATTATTGGTATTATGACAGTAATAACAATGTTGATTTTCGTGAACTTGCCACATACCGGGCATGGCACCAAGAGTTAGCTAAATCCCTGCTTCTTGGTAGCTGTGATAAAAACTGTGTGTTTAATCCTGGGTTTCATCATGATAGGAGCAGGTTTGGTGGAAGAGGCATGCTTGAAATTAAATATGAAGTCAAAAACTCTAAGCACTAAATGGTTTTGAATTGGATATTTTATTAGATTCAAATTACTGATGTGAAATTGTTAATAACCCTAATCTCTGGTGCAAAAGGTATATTTTAAATTATTGTTTCTAATACACAATAAAATAAATCATTACAACCTAAGGAAGTGCATTTTCTTTATAGGTATTTTTAAAGATTAAAAAAAAATAAAGATGAAAGAAATATAATTGACAGTTCATCCAAAGTCAGAAAATGGCTTCCTGTAAAGAGATAAATGCCATCAATAAGTGCAAAAGGAAAAAATTCAGTGCTTCAGCCAGAAATCTCTATTGTGACAATATAACAAAAAATTAAAATATTTATGTGCTGGTGGAGAGCATACTTTCTACCCAGCAAATTAATGGTAGGTTATCACAATTAAATCAAGGAAATTAAATATTTTGTTTAAAAATATTAAAAGACAGAACTTTCAGCCCTCGACAATAATTAGATGTCCAGAGAAGACTCTCCCAAGAGAATAGCTCCTTCATTCTCTGGGTATCCCCCAACCCCAAGGTCTTAGGATTCAGTGTTCTCAGTCCAAACACAGATAGTATGCATACCAGTAAGACTGGGAAGGAGGTTCAGGAAGAGTGAATGAAGTGTAGACCCTAGTTGGTTGAGTAATCAGCCAATGTCAGTTAAAATAGAGGAGAGTAGGTAGGAAGTTATTTTGGAAATAAATTAATATCTGTAATCTATTATAACAGATATTCTATCTGATTGAATTTTGGAGCTATAAAAAAGGACCCGGCTATAAACTATTTTATTATTTTATGTTCCTATAAAGAGAGAAATATGTCCTGGAAATCATGAAATATAACTAAATAGGACCCAATTCTATCTTTCTTATGGACATAAACATTATATAAAACAAAACCATTTAGAGGACATTTATCTATTTTTATAAGCTTTGTCTGTTCTAGAGAGAATTTTAGTATGATATTTTCTACTTGTTATGGAATTCACTTTTTTAAGTTTTTGTATGTTTGAATTGTACTTCATAAATGAAGAAAATGAAATTAATCTTTCTTGTTCTTTAATTCACTATGTGACTTTTACCATACAAGTAGGAGGAACTAGGGATAATTCCCTAGAGAGATCTATATTGTTAGCAAACAAAATAATAGAACAATTTTTTATCATAATGTCATTATTTTATAGATTTGGTTTAAAGCCTGAGAGCCTTCATTAAGGCACATTAGCTTGAAAGACAAAAAAAAAAATCTCTTTTTCCTGTGTGTACCATTTTTCCTCATGCAAATGGCTACTTTACTTTCCGAGGAGATTTTGTTTTGTGCCGACAGAGATAATATCCCAACTCACAAGTACCAGAGTTTAAATACCACATTGTCAAGTGGGATCCATATGCAGTACATTATAAAAATGTCAACCCACTCCATCATCCAGGGACAGCCTTGCAAAACCATGCTTTATGAAGTACTTACTCTTTATTGACTTTTAGTGAGCAAACAAAAAAAATGAGAGCACACTTACAAAAGTCATAACCTCTTTAAATGACATTCATAAGTTTTAAAATTGTAGCTAACACTGAGCTGTCTGAAACATCCAGAAAAGTTTTTTTAAGTACAGCCTGTGAAGCCAAGTGCCTCACTTACGAGTCCCTTCATTTTCTCTGAGGCTCTGGACATGGTCCCATGTCTTTCAAGCACCCAGGATGTACAAACACTACTCTTAAGATTTTCCTTCATTGATCCACTTAATCACCTTTCACAGATGAGGCACTAGAGACACTGAGAAGTGATTAATTTGCAAAATACTATACATATAATTAAAAGCAGTGCTCAGATTCCAATCAAGGTCACCTGACACCCCACCCAAGCTTACCTTAAATTTTAAGCTATTTCATTTTAATACTTCGGCTGAATTCATTATTTAGAAATGATCACATGTAATTTTTGAGGTCCCCAGCCAAGCTTCTTTGATTAAACACAGATGGGTCAAATAAAGGAGCATAGCATTCTGTTTGGGGAATGTTGCTAACCACTGTATTCCATTCCCTTTATGAAAAACAAAAACGAATAAAAACCACCTGTTGCAGAGGGTGCTGCAGTTTGGTCTCTAAATCACCCACTAGTTACTGTCTCAGTAGTCTTAAAATGCATTCACTCTACTGATCTCTTTAATGTTCTACTATAATTGACAGGTAACTTCAAATATCTTATATCATTAAAATTCTCGCTCCTGGCACCTATGAGTCACTGACATAAAGCCTCTGGTGGGACAGCTTCTCCTTCTTTATTCCAAACGTTGAGGCCTGCATATGCAGTTTGCCCATTCCTATCCTCTTTGCCCTCTAAGAAACGTGTCAACACATGTCTCTACCTGTCTGAAACCCCACTCTCGCATTAGCATTCTAGACCCTACCCTACCCAGTTAACCCGGAAAACCTAAGCATCGGTTTTGTCTTTTCCATCATATTCATAAGCATTCTTGTGTTTCTATAATTTCTCCTCTTAGCCTCACAAACTCCCTCAATTTACAAGAGCCAAACTTTGTCTTCAGGGTATCACCTGCATTGAAAAAGAAAAATTGAGGATTCCCTACTTGTATATTCATATTATTTCCACTCCTCCCTCACTGTCTCCAACTCCTCTGGCTCCCTCTACCATGTGTGACCTCTCCTTAAAGTATTGCTGTGTGTGCACATATATGTATATGTGTGTTTTTATAATTCCCCATTTCCGCTGAACACTCACTTTGCTGGCCAGGATCCCACTAGTAATATGCCAAAGAAACAGTGTTTACTGAGGTTACCTATAACCCACTGGTAGCTAAATCATGCCCTATCTTGCCTGAAATCACAGCTGCTACTTCTGAAACAAAACGTCATTCCTCATCAGAATCTTTCCTTTCTAGCCACATCAATATATTCAACTGTCTAATCAACTGATTTCTTAAAGCCACATCCAACTAGATTTGTGATTCCTTCAAATGCACTGAGATGGTCTCCATTTCATTAAATGGTTCAATAGTACACATAGGTTTGCAAGTCATCAACCAATGACTTTCTCTCAAGCCCCTCCCTCTCTACAGTTGGTCTTTATATCTGAAGTATCTGTCAAACCCATCCAAAGACATTACACAGGTCACGTGTGAGTATCTTCAGTAACCTTCGGACATCACCCGCATTCAAAAGCATCAGTGTTTAATCAGTAAAACATTAATATGACATGACACCAGATTAAAAGCTTCATATCAGATCATTTCAAGTTTTACTATATTACAGTTTCAGCTAGGGTAGTTTTTCAATTAGGTATTACATAGCAAGGGATTTGGGTTGTCAGAATTATTGCTAAATAATTACTCTAGTTTCATTCTGCTGCAGTGATAAAAACACTCTCACTAGAAGCAGCTTAATGGAGGAAAGGGTTTATTCCAGCTTACAATTGCAGACCACAGCTTTATCACTGATGGAAGTCTAGAGAGGAACTCAAGGCAGGAGCTTGAAGGCAGGCCTACTTGCTATTCCACACAGTATTGCCTCCAACAAAAAACTTCACTTCATAGTCTGAGAAGTATAGCAGGAACCGTGGAGGACACTGATTGTTAGCTAATTCACAGTCCAGCTTATCCTAAGGTGACTTTCATATACAACTCAGAACTACCTACCTAGGGATGGTACTACCCACACCAATAACTAACCAATACAATCCCCCACAGACATGTCCACAGGACAATATGAACTATGTCATTCCTCGATTGAAGATTTCCTGCAAGAGGACTCTAGGCTAACTAGTTTTAGCTACTCAGGACAATAGCTGTGAGTTTGTACTTCAATTTATCAAAAATAATGCATGTTATGGTTGAGAGAATGAAAACTAGAGCCAGAATATATCGTTCATTTTCATTTCTACTACTCTCCACTAATTTTTTTTTCAACTTCAAAATGAAATAACCAATTATCTATGGCTAAGAATATGGAGATTAAATGACTTATTAAATGCAAAATCCTTAGTACAGTGTTTGGCATAATGAACACTCAATCAGTATTAACCAGTTTATGTCTGTTTGTTTCTATATCCTTTTACTTAGGCAATTATGAAAATTTTCCATCTATGAGGTGGTTGGGTTAAAAGAAATATAATTTACAAACAGCAAGGGACTTGGGATGTGGCTCAGTGGGTAGAGTGCTTGCTGTGCAGTGGGATGAGGACATGAGTTCAAATTCCCATACCCATCCAAAAGCCAGGCATAGCAGCACAAACACAGAAACTCTGTGCTGAGGAAAAGACAGGGACCTACCCTGAGGCTCACGGCTCGTCAGGCCAACCAAAATGTTGAGTTCCAAGTTCAATAACAGAGCCTGTCTCAAAAAAGAAAATGAAAAGCAATAGCTGACGACATTCAATGTTGACCATTGGCATATGCAATGCATATCTAAGTACACACACACACACACACACACACACACACACACACACAACCTAAAGAAGTAAAATAACGCTTGCATAAATAAAAGAAATTATCTTCTCCAAATTTTTCAATAATTAATCTATGTAAAATGTTACATAAGCTTGCTCGTATCCCGGCATGCTTTTCAGCACTAAATTAACTAATGTAAGTTTTACAAATTTAAGCAGTAAGGAAAAGATATTTCCATCATTGCTTATTCCTTAAGTTGTGAGAAATAGAATATTTCACACAGTTCTTGATAATTTCCACAGCTTCATCTCTATAGCTAAAACCTATGTTTTTATATCATAAAAATATTAAAGAATGAAAACAATTTTTCTTATGAATAATACATATTTTAATATGTCAAATGTCATCCAAATAACTTATGTCATATCTGACTAGAATGAGCCAGCCTTAAACCCCTGTCATAGCCAACAGCAGGAACCATCTTCCAGGCACACTCCCTACAGCAGGAGAGCTCATCAGTGATTCCTCCAGCTGCATAAGTGTAGCACTCATCATGTGGTACAGATCTACTTCTCCAGTGAAGTCTCCAGGAGAGCTCCCCTTTTATTCCTGTGGGACTTCCTTCCTGAGGAGAAACATAGAAGAGAGAGTTAGTGGAATGGTCTAGAGACACATCGTCGTGTTTATTTGCACAGCCCCAGCTGGTTCTCACCTCCTCCACTCACTTTCCAAACTTCCCTCCCTCCTATTGTTCCATTCAGATGGCTCACCTGTTGGTATGATCCAAAGATTCCTCTATGGTATGTCTGTGCACTTAGTAGTGCACTGTGTTTGTTTATTCACTCTTGCAGTGAAGCCACGGCCGTGAAGGGGGTGGCAGAAAGTCCACATGGACCTACTGAGTCCCACACTTGTTCATTCCTATCTCACTGTATGAAAGTGTCCTACATCCTCTCCCCAATGAGAGTTGTTGACTTCTGCCATAGTGACATTTCCCCCAGTTTCAAGACATACAATGTCCAAAATATATAAAAACACTGATAATTGTTTTAGTGGGTACCTGGCTGTGTCTCCTGTCAAGAACAATCCACCTTCAGAAAACAAAACTTCCAATCTTGTAAATGTAGAGTTTGGGGAACAGAAAGCACAAAGTCTCTCAATATGTCATTGGGAATGATGGAATGATTAAGTATGACCGCTCTTACTTAATCCTTTGTTCCTAGACTCATACATTCTACTTTTTGAGGATTCAGAACTCTAGGGATGTGTCTGATTTAATGTATATTGTGCCCTAAATAATGGTATCCCACTCTTTCAGAGTGTTGCCTTTGTAGCTATGAACGTTCAGAAGGGCGTGCCAGCATTCTGTGATGAAAATTGCCTCTTCACGGCTTCAGGAATACTCCTGACAATACCTTATGACTAAGTCTTAGAAGGTCTTCAGTCTATAATCTCTCCCTCCCCAGGCTTCTTTGTTAAGATATGCGTGGAATTAACTTTAGCTAGCCTGGAGGCAGGGAAGGGACTAAAAAGGGCTCCTGATGGGATATTTATTATCTTACTGAGTAAGGCTACTTCAGTCTTCTAACAAAGGTGAACTATTTTCTCCAATTCTATGGAAACCAGAGCATCTGAAAAGCCAGCTGCCTTAGGATTATCCAGTTAAATCTCCTACACTGTTTCTGGGTCCCAGGTGTCCAATAGAGAACCCTGAATTTATTAGCGAAGCAGATCATTTTTCAGTCCTGAGCATTCAAATGTCTCCAGAGTCCTTACTCCATCACATCACCATTGCAGAACTCAATCACATCCTTATCTTCTCTGCAGCTGTGGCTGCTCATCTGCTAAGAAGGTAAGCAAGCTACCAAATAAGGGTGCCAGTTCCTATGTCTGGCTTTTAACAACTAAGTTTTTCCTTACCCATCTGCAGGATGGAAATACAACTTAATACTAAACAAGATAACAATAACAATCCTGCTGGGTAAACAATGCCTTCTGGTTTACATCACTTAAATATCTGAGTCATCACACTTGCAATCGGATCCCTCTCATTGGAATGTTTTCCCAAGTTACCCCTGATGAAACATTTAACAATTGGGCCACCAACTTGTGCCAGGGATTCTGCTCACAATGGCATCTTCATTCCTGGAAAGTTGCTAAGTGAGCTTGCTCCATATCCTCACCATGCTTTATTGGGCCATTCTCTTTATTACTTGTGCTCATTAAGGTCCAGTTGGAAGCACTTTGCAATATGAGATTATGCATGTGAGAGATTTATTTGAAATGGGAACATGAAAAGGCAAGGGAGACTTCAGCTTGTGATTTCCATAGAAAGAGAATAAGCAAAGCTAAGCAAGGAGGAAACACAAACAGCACCAGAGCTCCAGGAAGGATTCAGCCAAGCTAGTGGGGCACCCCTATTCAAAGGCAACAATGGCAGGATTCTACCGTTTTGCTATAATGGACTTCCTTTTCTAGGCTCAGTCATTGGCTACAAGAAGCTTAGCAAGAAATACAGCCCTATTACTAAGGCACATATTCCCTGGGACAGTAGTCAATGGCATCAGTCAACTACGATTTCTGTAGATAGAGATCTAAGAAGTGAACTTTGATAACTGTCATATCTGACATTCTACTTCACTATAGTCCACAACAAATTAAAGATTCTTGGTATAAAATAGATAACGAAGTCTGTTTAGTCAAACCCTCATTTTAAGACAGGATTCTAGTTCATTAAATTCTTAGATCACAATTCCACACCTCTCATTAAGAACAAAAATTTTGTAGCTCATGGCTGTATTTTCTTTCTCCTCTGAGCACATTCATCATGATTATGTTTTTAATTATGGAAGTTAAACACAGCTTATCTGTACATGCTAAATAAAGCAAAGGATCTATAAAATAAAAAGTTAATTTGTGGTACTGACTTTCTAATAATGGTAGAAGTTCCAACATGTACTGTGAGCATTTGATGTTATGTTGGCCCTTCAATAAATCTAGAAGTATTGGTCACTGAGCATTGATGTATGGCTGCAAAACTGAATTGACTTGAAATTTGCCTGGGTGTGTTATGAAACTCTGATGTATTCCCAATTTCCTTCAGTCTCAGGAGCAATTTATAACCATACTCAAAAGGCATATGAAGCACTATTTATAACAGCTGTTGTTTTTCCTATTAATGCATTTTAAATTGGCTTCTTTCTCTAGACTGACAACTTCCATTACAGATCAGATTGTTGGGGATTTGAATACAAAAGGAACTCTGCACAATTAGCATACTATACTACCTCTGGGAAGAAGTTATACTTTTGGTAAACACTTCTAAGTACATGTAATATATAGTTCTTATGTGTTTTCTACCAAATTTAAAATTACCTCACATCATGCGAAGCCCAGCTATTGAAAATTTTGTTTTGTCAGACATATTCTTGTGAGTACAATAGTTCTTTGACTCTTAGATCCTGAGATGTTCATTATTCAGAAATAAGCAGGCATATTATAATATGAAATAAGTAGCATAATATAATATAATATATATATATAATTGCTATATATACTATATAATATATATTACTAGCTTATATATATGTAATATTCTATATGACTGTTGATGGCATTGGAACTGTTACATGTACAGAAACTATTGTTGGTACTCACATGAGATTCCCTTTGTCCATTCTTTGTGATCTACATGGTCTATGATACTCTTTCCTTCTCTGGAGAGCTTTGCTCAACCAATGATACCAGGCCACCTACTCACAGTGTCTCCCTCCTATTGCACCCTGGAAATCCATACACAAGAAATGCCTCATGTAGAAGTGAAAAACATCAGCACCCTTCTTTCAAAACTCTGTGGGGTGATTCATATTTGTTGACACCATCAAATAACTTGTTCCACTCAGACTCCTCATGCTGGGGTCCCCAAATTAATGCAGCACCTGATAACTTTGTTTTGACAATCTCTTTGATGATTGCATATGATCCACAGTGCTTTCAAGGGACACCATAAAGTTGTCATCAATGAAGAAGGTAAAATCAGGTTGTAAAAAAAGAAAATGAGTCGATACACACTTCCACTCCAGGTCTCTAGAGAGAAGAAATCATCCAGGAGCAGTTCAGTGCTTCCAGGCCTCTGGTGCAGGGCAGTCAGGCACCATTATGGTGAACAGGTGAGGAAATGGGAGAGAGAAAGGCAGAATGATTGATATGCTGTGGAAAGAGGTAGATCTGAAGAGGGAAGGGTGGGAGGAACATCCTGATGTAGATGGCCTGCTTGTCATACAGTGTCATGGTGATGTCTGTGCCCGGGGCTGCTGTCAAGGGCCATGACTTGATCTGTGGCTCTGGTGCAGCCAGTGGGGCTCTGTATTGATTGATGTCTGTGGCTCCTGTTACCACTGAGGGATGTGGGAATGTTGCTCCTTATGGAGTTTCTTTGATGTCCATTATCTTCTCTGAATTAAACTAGTGCTGCCAGGAGCAGACATGTTTCACTTTCATGAAAAGCCTCAGGTTACTAAACATCTTAAATGAAATAGGTCTCTGAAGTATTTTAAAATCACCTATATATCTAAAATATGTTAACTTTGAAAACATATCTAATATGGCTACAAGTTTGATTTTTATGGATGACTAACCATTAACCTGCATTTCTTAATTGTACATTTCATTTTTAAATGAACTGCATAAGCATTATATCCCAAATAAGAGTAGAAACATATATACAGTATAACAAAAATAACTAAATTTGAATCAATATACTAAAATCCATATCAATGTAAAATAACAAAATATTTGAGGCTAGTAGTTGTCATTTTATCCTATATTCCTCCTAAGTGATAACAAACATCCACAACCCACTGAATAACCAAAAACCACCCACCCAACCTATTGGGAATGTGAGCATAGTGTTCTCTAGACTGCTTCCTGTTATCTTTGGGCAAAGACATCCCCAGGGGACCCTGGGAAAATTGGAATTTCATCCAATCTCAGAGCTGTTCCCATAGTAGAGGGGTCAGTATATACATCACCTATCTTGTAGCTTTTTCTTGGTTTATTTCTTGGTATCTGTAGTCAAGATTTCAGGGCTTCTCCCCAGATCAAACCTGATCTCTATCAACCTTGAAGGAATCCACAACCTCTCCTTTGCTGTGGAAACATAAGCAAAACCTCTTCTTCTACATAACATATTTTTGACTTTTTTAAAGTTAATATATTCCTAAAGTATCTAGGTTGGTTCAATTTAGCAGTCCTGTTTGCAATACAGTGTTTCTCAGCAGCTGTTATTCATTCATCAGCACTCAAAAAATTCAAAGACAGCACAACACCATACAGGATCCACACTCTGTATATTTCCCATCTGTATGTGATTTACTCTTTTAGATTACTTTACTCTTTCTTTAAAGACCTGATTACTTATAAACTATTTTTTCTATGACTGTCTATACCCATTTTCTTTACTTTCTTAAGCCTATATACATTTCAAAGCACACTGTAACCTGTTTAGAGGTTTTTTTTACCATCTGGATCTGTCTTTACTGCATGTTTGAAGACTTTTCTGATGAGCCAGACTTCAACTCCTAAGCCACAGCTGGATCCTCTGCCAAGATTCTGGTGGCTGACTCTGCCCCCTTCTCAGGTTGTGAAAGCCAAGCCTAAGCCTGCAGCCCCATCCTGAGCTGCATTCAACTCAGAGTTGTGTTTGGCCAGGAACTACATTCAACCTACCTAGCTCTAGGAAGTGGGTACCCACACTATGGCAGGTGTTTTTACTTAGCTTGCTGTTTCTACTTAACATGCCATTTTTTGTTCATTTGTTTGTTTGTTTGTTTGTTTGTTTGTTCAGCTTTATCAAGCCCAAGGAGGAAACTCAGACCCTACTTTGGTGTGCCAAAATGTAATTGGCTTTTTTCCTTTTAGAGGTCCACCACCCAGATCCCAAATACAGACAGAGACTTTTTATTCTTTGTCACAAATGCCCAGCATCATCTTAGACCTGTTTCTAGCTAGCTTTTCTAACTTTAATTCTCCTGTTTCTCTTTATCTATGTTTTGCCCCAGGGCTTTTTACCTTTCTTTCCTTGTCTTACTTTCCTGCTTTCTCTATGGCTGGCTAGCTGGCTGGCTGGGTGGTTCAGTGACTGGCCCCTGGCATCCCCATCTCCTTCTCCTTCTCTTCTCCTTTCCTCCAGAGCCCAAATTCCTTCTCTGTTTATTCTTCCTGCCTGCCAGCCCCACCTATCCTTTCTCTGCCTAGCTATTGGCTGCTCAGCTCTTTATTAGACCAGTCAGGTACTTTAGGCAGGCAAGGCAAAACGGCAACACATCTTTTCATAATTAAACAAATGCAACATAAACAAATGCAACAACTCTTTACATAATTGAACTATTATGAACTAGTATTACAACAAGCTGTCCCTGCTGGTGGAGATGCGGGTAAGTAGGCCCTGACGACATGAGAGTGGGAGAGCTAGCCCCACCGTCTGTCATGTGGTGGCATGGGTGGGGGAGAGATAACCTCCTTGCCCCTTGCCCCTTGCTACCTACTGCAGGCAGGAAAAGCTGGTCCCGGGATCAAGAGAGTGGGAAAGCTGATCCTGCCCCTCACCAACTGCAGCATTCAAGAGTGGGCCCTGGACCTCACTTAGGCAGCACAGTAGAGCTAATCCTGTTGGCAGGATCACAGGCGAGCCAGGCCTATGGGCATGAGAGCAGGAGATCTTCCTCTACCCCCTCTCTCCTATGTGATGGGGTGGCAAGGGTGAGGGAATTATGCCCTTCACCCTACTCCTTGCTGCCTGTGGGAGAGCCAGACTCAGGGACATGAGAACAGAAGAAGCCCTACCCTCACCAAGGTTAGCAATTCAGAAAGCAGGCCCTGCACCTCCTCTGGCCAAAACAATAGAGCTGGCCCTGCCTGGTGATGTGAGTGCAGGCAAGTCAGACCCAAGGGCTTGACAGCAGGAGAACTAGCCTTGCTCCTTGTTATCTGCTACATTGAGTGAGCTAGTGGACTGTACTGGAGAACCCACCTGGGCGGTGTGCATGAGGGAAAGCTGGCAGGCTGACCAACCCAGCTACCACCCAGGCCTAGAACTGGAACCACAAGATAGCCCACCCCAACACCCCCCTCATCTATGAACTGCCAGAGTCTGATAAGGTGCCAGACCTGCAGATCCAAAGCTACAGAACCTCCATGACTCAAGGCAACAACAGGATATCCAAGAGGAGTCCTAGTAAGGGCTCAGTATTGATAGTGTAGCAGAAGCCAGGGGCATCAAACCAGATCAGTGATTCCTTGCAATGAACACCTACAAGTAAAGATGTATGGACTGAAGGGTAAACTGTGTGACTCACTGGTCCAAACTACAGCTTTCACTCCAAGATTTTGTTGTTGTTGTTGGTGTTTGATTTTTTGTTTTTTTGTTTGGGGGTTTGGGTTTTATTTTATTTCATTTTGTTTTATTATTGTTATTGGCTTTTGTTTTTGTTTTACTATTAAATTTTGTTTTTTGAGGGGAGGTTACGAGAGCAGAGGGAAGAAGTGAGGGGATGAGGAGATGAGTGGGATCGGGATGCATGATGTGAAATCCACAAAGAACCTATAACAAGTTAAAAATAAATAAATAAATAAATAAAACGAGTGGAAAGATATACAAATTGATGTGGGGAGTTTTACCTGCATGCTGCTGCAAATACCAACAGACCCTAAATAAAATATGGGGGAAAAAAACAAAAACAAAAACAATTAAACCTATCATTTCTAGTTTAACTTTATCTTTAAGGAAAGACTCAAAGGCCCAGACAATATGAGATGGAAATCATCTTATATCTATCAGCAAGCAAATATCTTTCCATATAGATAAGCAAATGAGAAAGTACCAATTTCATAGAAAGACTCGTTTCAATGAGGATGATACTGAAAGTTAAAGCAACTTTTCTTATAAATTAAATTTGCAACAAGAATGATATATTTTTAAAACCTCCAACTTAACAAATGGGACCTTAAGAAAGAATATTTTGAGATCAGAAAAATACATTTTTGAAATGCAAAACTTTTCTCACTCTCAAACTAAACCGATACCACTTCAATCCTAGCAGGAAAAATGTGTTACTATTTCTTCTTCCATATTTTATGACTTAATATATTGGTGTATGTAGTGTATGGCATGACAGACTCTTTAAGGAAAATGAATTCCTAGGTATAAGTACATGACTCACTTGTTAGCAAGCCTTTGTTTTGACACTAAACCAGACAGATGCATGGTCCAAATCAACTTCTTTATTTGGAACTCATACTTTGGGCCACTATACAATTTTTCGATACTTGACAGCTAGAGACAATCACAGAACTACTTCTTATTCCATCTGAAGCTTTACCACAGTAAGCTTTAGTGCCATATGTACACCACATTTCTGTTCATGGTACATATATTCTGTATGAAGGCTGTATTAGTCAATGTTCTATTGCTGTAAAGAGACACCATGACCAAGGCAACTCTTATAAAAGAAGCATTTAATTGAGGCTTGCTTACAGTTCAGAAGTTTAGGCCATTGTCATCATGGTGGGGAGCATGGTGGCATGCAGGCAGACATGGTACTGGAGGAGCTGAGAGTTCTGCATCTGTATCCACAGGCAGCAGGTAAAGAGAGACACTGGGAATGACTTGAGCATTTGAAAATCCAAAGCCCAACCCCAGTGACACACTTCCTCCAACAAGGCCACATCTACTTCAAGAAGGCCACACCTCCTAATCCCTGTCAAGTAGCACCACTCCCTAATAACCAAGCATTCAAATATATGAGCCTACAGGGGTAATTCTCATTCAAACCACCTCAAAGGTGGAGGTATGTGTACCAGGTAAGTTTTTGATAATATGTAAATAAGATGTATTGATTACTGTAACAGTAATATAGCACACAAAAAAAATTCAACCTTACCTGTATTATATTAAGCTCCCAGAAACAGATCCAGAGATAAAAATACAGGTCCAGTTGATTTATATAGAAGGTATCTCTAGCAAATATTCCTGGAGGAATTGAGAAATGAGACTAGGCAGAAAAGGCAGCCTATAATCACCATTGTGAGTAGAACTAATTCCACTGGGAATTTCTCAAGACCAGCATAAACTATACGCCTTAGAGTCACCCAACCAGCAGTTAAGAGCTGGAACATATACATGTAAACCCCCATACATCCCTGATATCTGCTGGAGAGTCATTGATCTCATGGCATTCCTGGCTTTCAAGTACAGGAGCTGATGTTCTGACTGCCAAAGCTGTAAAGTACATAGAAAGTTGCCTCACTCGCTGTAACAGCAAGCCTGAAAGAATGAAGGCAGATTGGCTGGCAGATTTCTTCCACCAATACCATAAATGAATCTCATAAATAATATGTTTGAAAAAAAAAGCAGGAAATAAAAGTACTATGTAATGTTTCCATTTATAGAGAGTTTAAAGTCAGGCAAAACAGATATGAAAAGTCTGAACTGTTGTTGCATTTGAGGAAGGAAAGGGATGAAATTGGAGAGGACACAGAGAGATGAGCAGTTGTTCACAATGGTCTACATTCTGACTTGGGTGGTGATTGTATGGAAGTCTTCACATTGTGGCAGATGAACTATAAGCTGATAATTCTGTGCATGTGCTGTTTCTAGTTTAGAAGTTTGATTGATATGGAATAGGGTAGGGAAATAGAGTCAGTATTTCAGTGCATGCAGCCCATTCAGATGGCATTATAGATTATATGAGCATCATATATTAAAATGGTGTCTGAATATCAGTGCTCCTGGTTCAGTTAATTGTTCACTTGCTCATTAGAGCTATAATTTAAAACAGAAATATGACATCCTACTCTCATTCAGCTTAATAAACTTAAGCGACTCCCCATCCCCACGGCGATGCTCATTGGTTATGGCAACTTCTTCACAGTCGATGCAAAGGAAACAATGGAACACTCTTAGTGCTTATGACAGGTGCTTCTTCCTCTATACATGTTCATAAGTTAACTCTGACACTAATCTGCCATTCTGGTGGCTGATCTACATCCATATTGACATCCTGTTCCATAACTGCTGTGCTGGAACTGAGTTTGACTGGGAAGGCTAGAAGTTATAGCCTCCTCAGGCTTTCCAGCACTCTCACCAGTAAGGTTGGAAGCAGTGTGAAAACATGGGTCCTGAAAGTTCAGACAATCAGTAATGAACCTGGATTCAGAAGAGCTGTAACAAGAAGCAGTGCCTTCAAGCCAAACCTGGAAGACAAGCCACTCATTCAACAATGAGAAAGTTAAACCCATATCTGAGCTGCTTCTTATCTAGATAATGTCTAAGAGTAGCCAATGCTGATACTCCTTGACTCTCATCTCTCTTTTCTCTTCAGGTTTGCCAAAAAAACCAAAAGTGACATTTGAGATAGAATTTTAAGGTGTTAAGTCCCATCAGTCAATGTCTTAGTTAAGTTTTGTATTTCTGGGATGAAATACATGACCAAAAGCAACTTGGAAAGGAAAGAATTTATTTTTTATTTGGCTTACGCTTCCCCATATTGTCTGTTATTGAAGAACATCAGGGTAGGAAATCAAGACTGGAGTCAGGAGTCCAGGACTGAAGCAGAGGCCATGGACGAACGCTGCTTAGTGACTTGCTCTCCTTGACTTGCTCAGTCTTCCTTTTCATACATCTGAGGACCACATGTCCAGGGATGGCACCACCCACAGTGGACTGGGTCCTCCCACATCAACCATTAATCAAGAAAATGCCCCATCAACTTTCCTATAGGCCAATCACATGGAAAAATGTTCTCAATTGTTCTTTTCCCCAAAGAAAAGCATGTATCAAGTTGACAAAAGCTAATCAATATAGTTAGCCCATACCAGGAGGATATAAGAAATAGTCATGATCCATGTATATTGCTTCTTTTTATTTCTGTCCAACAATGAACATATTTATGTTCATTACTCCTCCCAACATTATTCAGAACAAAAGGAAAGTATATCCATATTAAGAATCAGTATACAATGATTTTAGCTATATTGGCATTCTATTCTGGGGCACAGCGTAATGTAGGAGGGGAGAAAGAATTCAGGGGCTACCAGGGTGTCATCTGGGCCAGGGCTGCTGTGGAGGGGCATGGCTGGGTCCACCTAGAGCTATGAAAATGATTGGGATCTTTTCAGCCCACCTGAGACCATGTTGGTGTCTAAGGACCATGGTGATGATGGAGCCATACTGATCTGGGTGGTTAGTGATGCTACCTGGGACCATGGCGATGTCAGGTCATGGGCTGCTGCCTAGGGCCATGTCTGGGTCCATGGCCCTGCAGTGAGTGGCCAGGGTCTGGGGTGGTGTCCATGGCTTCTGTCACCACCAAGGCCTCTGCAGATGCCAAGGGTCTAGTCAGCCACCTGAGATCATATTGATGGCCAAGGGCCATGCCGCCCCTGGGGCCATACTGATCTGGGTGGCCTTTGCTGTCACTGGGCCACAGTAATGTCCGGGCCAAGCTGCTGCCAAGGGCCATGTCTGGTACCTTGGTCCTGCTGCAGCTGGGGTCTATGATGATGTCTGTGGCCCCTGTTAGTACTAGGGCTCATTGGAGCCATGCTGTGCTGAGCAATCCCTGCCTTTCATTGGCCCAAGGATAGCTGGCTCTGCCACTCACTGGATACTGCAGCAGAAAAGCTGACCTGGGCTCCACTCCTCTGCCATGTAGTGGCATGGGTGAGAGAAAGATGCATTCCCACCTCACCCATTACCTCCTGCAGCAGGTGAGAGAGCTGGCCCAGGGATCACAAGAGTAGGGAAGCTAGCCCTGACCCTCACTGACTGCAGGGCCCTGGAGAGCCATCTCTGCTCCCCTCTGGATAGCACGCTAGAGCTGCCCCTGCTGTTGGGGATACAGGTGAGCCAGCCCTGAGGGTGTGAGAGCAACAGAACTGACATCCCCTGCTTTGTCTACCATGCCGTGCCATGCAAGGGTATGGATGAGGGAAAGATGCCCACCCCCACCCCCACCCCCGCCCCTTGCTACCTGTGGTGGGTGAGAGAGTTGGCCTCTGGAACACAAGAGTAAAAGAAACAGGCCCTGCCCCTCACCAGCTGCAACACACAAAAAAGCGGGCCCTGCACCCTGTCTGGGCAGCACAGTAGAGTTGACGCTGTTGTTGGGGTGCAGGTGAGCCGGCCTTGAGGGAGAGAGAGCAAGAGAGCTGACCCTGCCCTCCCCATATACCCCCTACAGCAATCAGGAGAGAAGCCTCTGCATCTTGCCTGGGCAAAACAGTAGAGCTGGTCCTGTGGGGTGAATGGGGGTGAGCCAGACCTGAGGACCTGAGAACAGGAGAACTGGCCCCGCCCCTTGCTGCAGGCTGCACTGGGTGAGCTAGCCGAGGCAGTGCTGGAGAGCTTGCCCAGGTAGTGACAGATGATGAAAAGTTAGCGGGCTGACCAACCCAGCTACCACCCAGGCTCAGATTCAGGACTACGAGTTGGCCCAACCCCAAATCAACCTCATCTTTGAACTGTTGGAGCATGTGAAGGAACCTACAAATCCAAAATAGCAGGATCTCTGTAAACAGACGTTTCCTTTCCTCACTGCCTGATCCCAAATAATCACATGGAGACTTATATTAATTGTAAATGCTCAGCCAATAACTCAGACTTATTACTAAGTAGCTCTTAGATTTAAATTGACCCATTTATATTCATCTATGTTTTGTCACGTGGCTCGTGGCTTTACCTGTCCTCCAGCACATCTTGTTCCTCCAGCGGCTGGCTGGCATCTCTCCGGACTCTGCCTTCCTGCCCATCCTTCTCAATTTGGCTTTCCCACTTAACTTCCTGCCCAGGTACTGGCCTGCCAGCTTTGTATTAACCAATGAGAGTAATACATATTCATAGTGTAGAAAAGGATTGTTCCACCCCAGATCTGCATGACACAAGACAACAGGCTATCTAAGACAAGCCCCAGTGAGAGCCCTTTAATGGTGGTAGAGCAGAAACTAGAGGGAGCCAGAACAATAACTCAAGGCAATGAACATTTGCAAGTAAAAATGAATGGACTAAAGGGGACTCAACTGACCACACTACAGCTTCCGTGACAAGATTCTTCTCCCTTTCTATTTTGTTTTTGTTTGGTTGGTTGGTTTGGTTTTCGGTTTTTCTTTTAAATTTGTTTTTGTTTGGGGGTGGTTTGCAAGGGCACAGGGCAGATTTGAAGGGACAGGGAGATAAATGGGATTGGACTGCATGATGGACACAAAGAATCAATAAATGTTTTTTTTAAAAAAAAGAATTCAGGGGGCTACTAAGTCAATGGATCATCACAATTGTGTTTCTCTGTATGTGTGACTGTGTGTGTGACTGTCTTTGTGTGTCTGAGTGTGTCCATTCAGGTGTACAGGAATTTATGTGCATATGTGTGGAGGCCAAAGGAACCTCTGGAATCATCCTTAGGTGCACCATCCACCTCCTTTAAACAAGTTATTTCTCTGTCTTATAGTTCACCAAGTAGGCTAGCCAGTTACCTAGGGATCCTCCTGTCTCTACTTAGAAAGAGGACTGTAGATACATAACAATATGCCCAACATCTTCTTTTCCATTTTTAATAAGCTCTAGTATATTTGCTACTAGCCAAGTCCCCAAATACTAGTGCCTAATATAATCATCCTAAAGTTAATTTTTGCACTAATGTTGTATTGCTTTCCCATCCTTGGGTCCTGTGCTCATTGCATGAGTTGGCTGTTTGAAACCTGGGGTCTATGCAGGATTGCTTGGCTCGGCCTGGGAGGAGGGGACTGGACCTACCTGGACTGAGTCTACCAGGTTGAACTCAGTCTGTGGGGAAGGCTTTGCCCTGGAGGAGATGGGAATGGGGGGGGGCTGGGGGGAAGGTGAGGGGGACGGGAGGGGGGAGAACAAGGGAATCCGTGGCTGATATGTAGAACTGAATTGTACTGCAAAATAAAAAAAAATTAATTATAAAAAAAAATAGAAAGAAAAAAAGGACAACTTTCTACGTAGTGTCCTTTCCAAGTGTCAATTCAGGCCATTTAGAATGGAGGGAGCAAAAATATAAGAATCTTGTCTGTTTGCTGCTGTATTCCTAGCACAGTGTTTGTGATGTGAAAGATATCAGATATATGTTGTAATTAATTTTCTGATTTTAAAATGATTTCTGTTTGGGATTATCCCACTGATTGCCATTTCCTCCAAGCCAAATATAAAATTACTTCCAGAAAGGAAATGATGAATTTTCAATAATAAACAAGACTTGAACTACATTCTAATTTCTTGAGTTTATTCACAGGGGAGATCCCAGGAAGCAAAGAAGGTTTGCATACTGTGAAAATTTTCTGAGCTGTTAAAACAAGGGCCAGGCCTGCAGGCAATCCCAGGCGCTCCAACTCCTGGATGAATGGCTTTCCTCTTGCCTCACTGAATTTTCCTTTGTTAAGTCACCTGACCCACTGAATAAACAATTCCATTTATTGTTTCTAATCATTTCTGGATTTGAAGATTATTTCCATCATAATGACCTTTTCTAACTTGTAGCTGAAATAGAACATAAATCTTCACTTGCCGCAAACACAGGGAAGGAACACTTTTAACGCTAAGACAGCTGACTTTTCCCCAGGAAATGCAAATTCCATCCCAGGTTATTAATGCTGAAGATGAAAAATACAATTCAATTCCCTTTTCTATGTACTCAATTTTGTGAGGTGACCTAGAAAAGTGAGAAATCATTAAACTCCAGAGGAAACTCCGGAAGAGAAACTTATACCAAGATAATTTATCTTCCAAATGCAAACATCTCTCTCTTACTTTCTTAAAAGATTTCCTTTTGAATACAGCATTTTGATTGCAGTAGGAAAGGCATCTGAAGCCCATTAGTAGTTTTCTAACTTCTGAACGTGTGATTCATTCCAAATGTAAAAAGTATCTCTGTGGCAAAGCATTTGTCTTAATGAGAAAATTCCCTAAGAGAAAACCGGCCTCTGAGTACCACACTGATCGTTCAGCATTCCCAGAGTCACTCTACTATGCATAACTCCTGACACTTTCTGTGTAGAGCTGAAATTTCTTAGAATCTTAAGATGGGAAGCTATTGCCTGAATGGGATGGCCTTTTCCACTTAGCTCCTTGTAGTCCTCTCTGTTCTAGCCAAACAGGATGCTGATGCCAATCTTTGAACCTAACTATAATGATGATGCAAAAACATTTCTGTTTTTGTTGTTGTGTTGATTGCTAGGAATAAATTAGGTTCAAGTTGAGGAGATTCAGATGCCAGGTGTCTTTTCAACAACGGAAATAAAAAATTGGTCTCCTGATCTTGAGAGTTCAGATCCTGGAAGTTCTTCAAATTTAGTGATCTAATTCTTGGTGTAGACTTAGGGAAACTGAATTAGATGTTCAAATTTCAATGTGACTTTCTTCCTGAAGATGGAAAAAAATCTTTAAGCAAGACTTAATGATCCAAACAGCAAATAGTGATTCCTAAACCTATTTTCTGTCTCCTCAGAAGTTTTAAAATTGTACCTTTTTTACCTTTAATAATTGGAATGTATCTCCATGATAAGAAATCTGTGCAAGAATAGCAGGAAATGCTTAGTTTCATTTCATTAAATCACAATTGACACATTTCCTAATAATTTATGTTAAGATTATTTCCATTTGATTTTTAGATTAACAGTGAACAGTTTGGGCTTGTCAGGAGGTGCTGATTTTGCTCTTATCAATATTCTAAATTGGGCTGGGAAGACAAATTAAGTCTCAGAATTGAATGTTGGTGATTTTCTCCAAATAATCTCCAACAGTACCATAGAAGAGATAGTATACCAAAAGTTAATAAACAAACAAAGCCACAGTGATATTTCTCTTATATAACAAATTAGCAGAAATGATTAAAAATAAAAACATAGCCAGTCTTAGCTACTGAGTTATCTCAGCCTGAGTTGTTAGTAATGGCTCATCTTTGAGACCAGGAAAACTTGAACCCACAGAGCCCTTGGATATTGACTGTCTTTATATGGAC